ACAAGCGCAGAGGTTATGTAAGGAGACGTTGAGGGTGATGTAAGCTGTTCGTAGGCACGGTTGGCTACGTATGGTGCGAAAGAAGTTCAACATCCGGACAAAGGCGGCGGGAACACGGCCGTGCAGGAGAAAGCAGGGGATTGACTGAGGACTGGGAGAGGGGGCAGAGATTTGGCGAGACAAGAGAAAGGAAGGCGGAGGGGAGAGTTAGAGGTGGAGAAAGAGGCCAAGGGACCCGGTTGTTGGAAAGGAGGAGAGGGAGAAGATGAGAAGGAACTTGCTGGAAGGTTCCAGAAAGATCGAAAGGGGATTGACGAGAGCTCGAAGCTCTTGGCAGAGACGGCTGCCTGCGTGTGCGTTTGTAGTGTGAGGGATTGTTTTAAATAAAGCCCTGAACCCGAAAATCACCTCGTGTGGACGCCCTTTCACAAGGACGAGAGGATGTACAAGGCAAATGGCTCAATAATGTCAAAGATTGCCTGGAACGAGGGAGCACCCTGCCATAAGCGGATATACGAGAAGATTGAGAAATAAGAATAGGTGTTTACCCTTCCTGGCAAGAAAATAGGTGTTAAGATATTATTGGGTCTTTCGGTAAAGTCGCGTAGATAGGTTCAAAGAAAATAACAAAATTAACAAACAATTTTCTCTTGAACCTATCTACGAGACTTAACCGAAAGACCCAAGAATATTAATTCCTGCAAGCTTTAAGTCAAGGTGTTGGGATGTTCAAACACCAATTAGATACCTTTTGGAAGGAGTCTGGCTAGTTTATCAGTTACTCCCGTGGGTTGTCAACACATCTACGCCTCTATATAAGGAACGAAACAGTTAGACTTCTCCACAATTCTGGTTGTCACCTGATGAAGCTGGTTGTAATTACTGGCGAAACATCGTACTCAGTTTCTAAATGTTGTGGCTTGGCTCTCCAACACACCGGTGTGCTGTACTAGTGACGAATTGGCCACGTTCTGTTTACGTGACAACCCTTACTAGTTGGCTGTGACGGATGGTGGTGGGTTTTAACCCCACATTTATATATTTACGCGATCTAACTAAAAAAAACCTCTTATGGATGAAATGTTTTGTTTTACTTACAAATAAGAATGATGATGGTTATGATGATGGTGATGTTAGTGGGGGTGATGGAGGGCGCCTACGTGTGGAGTGAGACCGCATGAGCGTTTTGGAGAGAGAGGATTGCGACGAGAAATTCATACGCAGTACAACTATTTTGTTATACTCTTTGGTTTTTTCGGTAAAGTCACGTAGGCAAAAAAAAATAAAATAAAATAAATGAAAACAACTAAATTAAATCACGACGTTTCGGGCGCAACACAAGCGTCCTTCTTCAGGTGGGGAGAACGTAGCGAAAGCACACCTGCACCTAAGCACACCTGCATAAGCGGTGTGCTTTCGCTACGTTGTCCCCACCTGAAGAAGGACGCTTGTGTTGCGCCCGAAACGTCGTGATTTAATTGAGTTGTTTTCATTTATGTAATTAAATTTTCTACCAACTTGACTTTACCAAAAAAAACAGAGTATGAATCCTTGCAGTCACGAAAGCTTCAAATCTAGAACTATTTTGTTATATATTTGTTTTTAAAAGGTAAGGCCCACTGAGCTGTATCGCTCTTTTCAGAAGCGACCTGGCCGCACATGACAGCTCAACGAGTTGGCTTATCACGTGGAAATGTATAGCAGCAAATTTGCTCTAAACGCACGTTTCTAAATGTGGAAGGAAACCCCGGAGGACCCGGAGAAAAATCCACGAGACCACGAGGAGAGAGACGCGCAAACTCCAAATATACAACAGCAGCAGGCGTCAGGGTCGTGATCGGACCCACGACTTCCTGTGTACCAGGCGAGGTAGTTAACATCTCTTAGCCACGGCGGCGCCCCACCCACAAGCACACCGCGCACTCCTTGTCGATGCAAAGGTGAGACTCTTAGCAGCGTCAAACCGCGTACAGCCGAAACATCACCCCCGTGATCCGGAAAACGTACCTCTAAGTCAACTGTGTCTAGCTGAAACGCGCGTTCTATAAAACAGCGTTGGGCAAGGTATGATCAGACTATATTTTTACAGCAGTTTTGTCAATTTGCATCTAGATGAACGTCTCCCCCATGCTGTGTCAGCCATGGGGGTTGTTTTGGCCAAACTTCACCACGCTAGTTAGTGGGTGAAGGGTATACTCGAGGATGGTTCAGATATCAATCTTCGCTGGTGTTATTTGAATCAAATATAGGTAATTGAGTTCGTAGCGCCGCGTTATAACCAGTGTAATATTGTATCCAATGTAAGGTTTTGTTCAATAAAAAAATATGCCTGCCATTGTAGCTCACACATTCAAGATTGATTTAGCAACGCAATTGAGCTCCAACTGAAGACAAATCAAAGTGTCACCTTGTTAGATCGAGAGTTCGGTGTAATATATATTGTACGCTTGGCATTAATTTGTAATCATCACACAATCTACCGAAATATAACCTCTGGCTACGGCTGTGTGATTTGCACGGCTGAACAAGATTGCGACTCCCCTGGGACACGCCGAAGGAGATGGGTACACTTCCTGCATTGCAATTATAATCTAAAGCAGTGCCAGATTAAGCTAGTGCAGGGCCTGTAGCATATGTTAAAAAGGGGCCCTAAATAAAATAAAAAACATAAATATTAAAACACAAAATTTTAACTTGCATAGTAAATTAATTGTATTTTTTCATTTGCTATTCAGCCAGATAATACGACAAATCGCTAACCTTAAACACCCAGTCTTTCAAAAAAGTTGAAGGCAGTCTAGTACTATAGTAATAGAGTAAGGGCAGTTTCATTGAGCTGGAATTGATAGCTTGAAAGCATTTAGCGCGGGGCCCTTGAAAGTGCAGGCGCGTAGCATTTGTAGCTACTTTTTCTACTCGGATAATCCGGCACTGATCTAAAGGCGTTATTACAGTTCACATTGGTTAGATTTGTCCTCATTCTTTAAATCACGAAGTATTATTAATGTCAAATGAGGGCGGTGAGGCGGTGGGGGTGTTTCAATTGAAATAATCATATGTCTAGAAGTTTGGCATTAAACATGTTAATATATTATTGCATAATTTCGTGTTGTCCATGCACAGATTTTCTATGAGATAGCGCATTTGTACATGCATATATGTAACGGCCAGTTTGTCAATCCACTGCTGGATGAGTGGCTTGCCATGCCACGTGAGCCGTGGGGGTGATTTAACCACACATCACCAGGCTGAGCAGTGCAGGTTGGCCGAAGGACAGATTTGTACCCTGTTGTAATGTTTGCTTTTGCCAAAGATGCAACTTGTGTCTTTGGTGAAAATATGGGAATTGGCAGAAATTTACAGCAATTTGGCCAATTTCATGGGAAATATAACGCCTTTGCGTCAACGTGTAAATGTCGGTGTCTCGGTGAACCCTCGCCTGGATGTACAGTGAGAGATGGTAGTGTAGTGACCAGCGCCCTGCACTCCAAATCCGGCAATTCGAGTGATTCCCACTCATGGCCAACATCATTGGCGAATATCTAAACTTGTCATTGACTTCCCCGACATTCTCTTAGGTTTTTTCGGTCACCTACGTGACTTTACCGATTCACACTCTAAGGTTTTTTTACCGAAAAAACCTAAGAGTATGAATCCTTGCACTCACGAAAGCTTCAAATCTAGAATTCCCCTACGTTGGCTCAGCTTTTCAACGAATAGCTGCTGCGGTGTGAACATGTCAGCTCCTGAGGGAGACATCAGACGGTTGGGCCATAGTTCTGGCCACGCCACCGCCTCGTGCGCCGGGGTGGCTCGCTAACTGGATGTCGGCTATCAACAACAAGGCAACTCCTATGACTAATTGGGAATGGGACGCAAGCGTAGGATTGATCACCCTGTCGCTGGCCGCCTTTGGGGAGGGTGTATAGTGTGAAAGGCCGAAACACCCTAGGAACCAAAGGTACACTACTGACGATGCGCTCCCCAAATTTCACCAGGCTCACTGTTCATGAATTCTTGGAAGTGCTTGCACAAGGGATAGTAACATCTCATCCTGTGTTCTTGGAATCTGCCCCAACAGCCACGATAAGGGGCCATCCATTGAGTAGGCACGCAAAGATCTGTCAAAACTTGATCCCTCCCCCCCTCCCTGTACGCACGTGGACTCTTTACCCCCCCCCCCACCTGCGTACGTACGCCTGACGCACCCCCCCCCCCCACCCCCGAATCCTATAGAACGGCCGATATGTAATCCACGCAGAAACGATCAAGAATGAATGATATGAACTCGTTTAAGCAAACAGATAGTCCACCACCGACTGCATTAAACAATTAAGTCGCGCACCTTGGCCACTTATTTTGCTGGGCTGCGTAATAGCTGCAGTCAGGGGCACGGTGGCACACGAGTGACACCTCTCCCACAGTCCCACTTCTCCCGGCAGTAGTTGTTGTCTCACAGCTGAAGACACTGAACTGTGGCTCATTCGAAGCCCAGTGTAGACAAATTATTATCGAGGCTCTACCCCCCTCCCCCCGTTTCCTATGCTTACGTACATTGCCAGTAGACCCCCCCCCCCCATACGCAAGCTACGCATTTGGGTTACCCCCCCAATCCCCCCTCCATGCGCACGTACTAAATATATGCCCCCTTGAGGCTATAAAAATTGAGAGGGGGGATCTTTGTCTGTCACGTGGCTATCAACGATGGGGGGGGGGGACCACGCGCGCATGAGTGCCGGGTTGAATGGCTGTCAGTGCAGCACGCGTATAGTGTTCATCTTTCTCTTGGTTCTTTCGGTAAAGTCACGTAGAAGGGAAGTAATTAAATAATAAAAACAAAACACAATAAAATAATTCTCACGACGTTTCGGCCACAACGCAAGCAGCCGTCCTCAGGTGAACCCAGGTCTGTCGAGGCGACAGCGTCTGAATGAAACAGCAGATGAATCCCTGCAGTCACGAAAAGCTTTAAATCGAAATTTAGCGTATAGTGTTGTTACTCGTGCCCCGCCAGCAGTGCCGCAGGACGCTTGCCGTGTTGCGGCTGGAGCTGCAGGCCGGACTCGAGGCGCCCGCGGGGTTTGGTGCACAGGAAGAGGTAGCCCAGCACGCAGACGCTCACCGACGAACGCCAGGAAGACGAGCGCCGCGAAGCCAAGTCCGACCAGCGCTCCCACGCTGCACAAGGGACAAGGGCATTCATAGGTTCAAGTTTTATTTATTAGGTATAGCCCTGTGAGTCATTCGGCTCTTGAATCGGGTGCAACCGCAACAAACAAAAAACATGAACAAAAAACATCTTAAAGTGAATATGTGACTAAGTGCAAACAGAAAATCCAAGAAAAGACAGCAAAATATTGCAGAAAAAAATCACCGTACACCAACGCTGTGTGCAAAAATCCCAGTGGGATGCAAGTCAAACAACCAACAACAACCACAAGACAACTTAGATTAAGGCCATCAGTCTAACTCTGTACTACAACAAACAAACATGGCTAAGCCAATACACTTTTCGAAATCACCAAAATAAAGCCATGAAAGCAATGAAACAGTGATCATATGAACTGTGACGGAATTGCACGCACACACACAGGGCAACATCATTCAAGCGCCAGGTCAGGATTACCATCCGTGTTATCGTTTGTCATGGTGCAACCCAGTGCTGGATGAAGGACTGACCAAGCTGCCGACATCTAACATAATGCAGTCACATAATCATCTACCCCCAGCGATGCCTGCACACAAAGCTGAGTTGATCGTTCCATCTCCCCGATTGGATGTCCTTGTGTGCGATTCATTGCTCGGCTACCACTTTGTCACTATTTGTGGCCATTAACTTAATGTGTTCAAAATATTGAGATACTTAAGTGAAAGCTAAATATGCCTACACACAGTTAAAAATAAAGTCATTTATGTCAATATATTAAGAGATATGTGTGCGTTCTAAAACCTGTTATATTTAACGCGAGGGCATTTGAACACAAGCTCACACACTTTTCCAGAGACAGTCGATATGTTTACTGTTATTGACATATCGGTGGAAATGATCAAATTTCCAGTGCAGGGGATAAAATTGAAAGGCTAACACCAATCCGCACTGACCAACGTAGTGAAGTATGGTAGAAAGAAATCCCCATGATGGACAAGGTATGAGGAGGTCCATTTGTAAACAATCGATTGACAAATAATTGAAAATAACGATTAAACAGAAATAAAGTGATATTGCCTCAATGCGTTACTTTTAAAATGTCAATAATACATTTTACCTTGGGAGACCTTTCTGATTTTCAAGGCTCTTGTTCATGAGGGTCTTGCTATATTGGGATATATGGGGAAATACCAAGAATGAGTGATTGACTTCTTCTGGGAGGAGACCGGAAAACCCGGAGAAAACCCACTATGCACAGCAAGGGGTGACGCCCAAAGCTCCACGCACAGAGGTTTAAGAATCCATTGGTGCACTTCCATCCCGTGGTCACCGCACAGCCAGCCCCAACCCTACGACGCCCAATATTCCCAAGAGGTCACCCGTTCAAGGACCAACCAGGCTCAACACTGGCAGCTTGAAATCAAAATCTCTATCTGGGAGTGGTGGATAAATGTATCCCCCCCACCCCCCACAGGAATGATAATTGAAAATGCAGTGGAGGCAATAGAAAAGCAGAGCCAGTGATATGTCCACCCACCACCCCGCTGCAAATTACAACCTAATTGACATTTCATATAAATTATACATTAAGAAAGATATGAGAGATTAAATCTCTGTTATAGAAGAACAAAACTGGATATATAAATGGTATTGAACACGGCTTTAATACATTTCTTCTATAGAGAGAATGAGCTATTACTAATAGAACTAATCGAATTGCCACTTTTTTACACTTACAAAACATAAGCTCTATAGAGTCATGTATTTATAATGGTTTTTAAAGTCAGCTATTCACACTACAGATGTATCAATACAGTAGAATAGTTTTCAATGTAGATGTTTTAAATACAATTAATTGGTGGAACTCCTCATATCTCAATGCCTATTCTAATAAAAAAATTCGTGAATAAGATATTTTCTGATATATGTGTGAGGGGTAGGGTTGGTGGTTTTGGTGCTATCATCTTTCAATCAATCAAGCCAAGATTTGTAACACGTGCCATATTGAGCAAGCGTCAGAGACAGAAGCATGCATTGCACTGATAAAAAATTTACCCGTAAAAACAAAGTTTTTCACTATAAATCCTTTATATGCGTGGTGGCTAGAGTCCTCTCGTCCTCTGGCTTGAGATGGCTGCCACCTATGGGTCAGATGATTGCCTGCCACCATTAAGCAATTGTTAATTAAATATTTTTTAAAAAATCCTAAAAAGTGTAAAATTTTGAAAAAAACTTTTCACGAAAATACATTGTCACGCACAACGAGTCTGTGTGCAAAATGTCAGCTCGATTGGATCACGGGAAGTGGGTTTAAAACGACCGAAAGATTTGCACGGTCGTAAGCAAGCAAGCAAGTGAACTTAATATAAAGGATTTTAAAATGAAACTAAACATCAGGAGCAGAAGAGAATACAAGTGTTTTACGTCTGATCTCAAAAGCACCGATTATATATAATCAATGCTGACCGGACTTCAGTTGGCAGAGACTAACCTCGATACCATGGCAGCACCGTTCATTTATCGCAAAGATCCTCCTACATGTCCCAGTTTCGACTGCAATGGCAAGTGCTGCTCGTCACCACCCATTATCCTGGAAGCATAATTACACTGGTAATGTTACAAAAGAATGAGTTCCAGGTCATCATGTCTTTCAAGAGCTGGAGTTGAATGCACCGCACCAAGCACTCATGCTGGATTGCATTCTTAAAGCACACAGGCATGCATCTGGATAATGAGGTTTTGTTCTTTACGAAACTCAGCCACCAATACATGAGCATAATAACCCCTTTTCTCAACAACAAATAACACAAGTATGTAGGCAACATCACAAAAGAATCCTTACTCTTTGGTTCTTTCGGTAAAGTCACGTATAAAATGTTTTAAATAATATAATACGACGTTTCGATTGCAACACAAGCAGTCGTCATCAGGTCGAACTAAATTTGAGAGAGAGACAAAACACAGACACGGAGACACACAGACAGACACACCAGCAGAGAGAGACAACACGGAGACACAGAGAGAGACACACACAACATAGACACACACAACATAGACACACTATGTCTTGTAATCGAAACGTCGTATTCTATTATTTAATTTATTTTATTTCTACGTGACTTTACCGAAAGAACCAAAGAGTAATTCCTGCAGTCACGAAAGCTTCAAATCAAAACAATCCTTTCCTCGCAGACGCAATTAGAGAAATTCAATTACAAATTACATTTCCAGGCCCAAAGCCAAAACAGCTTTTCAAATGTGTATCTGAAGGGTCACATGTAGATGGCAAAGGTCCACTTGAAATCCCTGCCACCATTTTTGCAAGGGCTGTTAGGCAGCACTTGATTGAGGTCCGTTTTTCTGTAAGCCCTCGAGTGCTAAATAGCCTGCCAGGTGCTCATTTTAAGACGTGTCAGTGTCAGCATGACGCTACACACCGAGTCTCTAGAAATGGATGGATGCAGCAGCTTCTTTACATGAATTGAAATGTTTTTTTCGCCATGCCATGAACACGAAAAAAACTCATGACTGCGTTTGCAGTGAATCCGGTGAAATTTCCTGTTGCTGAAATGTGCTCGTTTAAGCCACCGTTTACATGCAGTGCACTTTATTTCACTGTGAGCACTTGTATTCACGTGCAAAATAAATATAGTATAGCAAAAGAGATTGATACATCGGTTTGGTTGGGTAGTTTTATTTATTGGCCTCTAAGGGCAACATTATAAGGTTGAAGGCGACTCAGTCTCAGTTATTAAGTGTTGCAGAAGCACCATTTATAACAATTGGAGAGAAACACGAAGCTTATTCACTCTGATTGTGGGGTAAACCACGAGTAAGGAATGCTGCAGCCTTGGAAACCTGAAAATTCGGAGCACTTATGGAGCCAGGTTTGTGATTTATAATCAATAAGCTTGAAAAGCAAATCAACATTAGTTTCTGTTCATGAAAAAGAGCAAAAACTACCGCGTAATTCCCTACATTTTCTGTGGTTTCAATTCATGTTTAATCAAATAAGTGCTCGTGATTAAATGTTGTCATTTGTTTAGAAAATGAATAGAAGAAATAAAAATGAATACGTCCCTTCAAAAAGTTCGCAAACAATAACAAAAAATGTATATATCCTTCATACTGTGATCAATACATATGTTATGAATTCCATTCAGTTACATACTTCGAATAGGACACTACGGTAAGAGGAAACATAAATCAATGACATCATTAGACGCCAGTAGTTTCTGTAAAAAGAGAAAACACGTGGTTTTCAAAATGGTCAAGTTACTGGAGTGTTCTTCATTACATTTGTAGAGGGGGGGGTGGGAGCACTTTCACCAATAAGACATCATCAGCGTGCAAGGGGCTGCCACACATTTCAAACCATTGGAGTTTGACAGCGCGATGATGATGGGGGGGGGGGGTGTCACGTGTTGTGTATTGCTGTTGACCCCCTTGTGCAACGTGGGAGCACCCCAGGCACCGCACTAAAGGCCACTAGGGCCTTGCAATGAAGAACACCGACTTATACGAATACATTTGCATCCGAGTTATCTTTCTTATTTATCCTACAACTTATTGGAAACCAGTGAATGTATATCAATGTATTCTAGATTTGAAGCTTTCGTGACTGCAAGGATTCATATTCTTAGGTTTTTTTAGGTAAAGTCACGTAGGTAAAACATTTAAATTAATAAAAGTAAAATAAAAATAAAATAAAAATCGCGACGTTTCGGACGCAACACAAGCTTCCGTCTTCAGGTGGAACAGTCACAGCACGATAGCTGTATGAAGTGAGAGAACACTGGTTTTCCTGTAATTTCTCTCACTTGATACAGCTATCGTACTGTGACTGTTCCACCTGAAGACGGAAGCTTGTGTTGCTTCCGAAACTTCGTAATTTTTATTTTATTTTTATTTTACTTTTATTAATTAGAATTGTTTACCTACGTGACTTTACCGAAAAAACCTAAGAATGTATATCAATGTAATCAATGTAACCAGGTGTCTGGATACGCTCACCGAGTTGAGACGGCTA